TATGTATGTATGTATATATATATATTGTGTGTGTGTGTGTATGTATGTATGTATATATATATATATATATATATATATATATATACATATATATACATACATACACACACACACACACACACACACATATATATATATATATATGTGTGTGTGTGTGTGTGTGTGTGTGTGTGTGTTTTGCTAATGATCCTTTTTTTTTTTACCTCTGGCAATGACTTTTTGCTCCTAACAAGACACAGTAAGAAGGGTCAGACAGTTTAATCATTAGTCTGAAGAAAAGTTGCATGTGATTTTAAGAGTACAAGTTGCTCAATTTTGCTCTAAAAATGTAAAAGTATAATTGCTAGATATAAAGTGTAATTTCAATCTTAAAGAAAATGCATCAAAATTTAATATGTCTACAAGACCAAACCAGTTAAGGGATTGATTCAAACCCATTGAAATACATGGAGGCTTATAAAACAAATGACTGTGCTGTACTGAAAGATATAACAGAATAAATGGATGCAATCATTCTGAAATTTGTGCAAATTTCATGCTTTTGATCTCTGTTAATTGTGTTTCTGCTAAGCTTTTGGCAGTTTGCTGCTGTTCTAGCTCTGAGAAAACAGGCTTTAGAAATGTAATGGGGAAAAGTAAATATTGCTGTGAAAGGACAGCGTCTTATTAAATTTTATATGTGCGATTGAAGTGTTGTGAAACCCAAGCACTTTCTTCTTTAATTAAACTTGCCCATTTCTTCCTTTTAAGAAGAAAATGTCAAGTTAGAAAAAACAAAATTAAAATTAATTATTCAGATTTGACACTCAGGCAGTAGGAAAAGGCTGCACTTTAAAAAAAATAGTTTATGGTAAATTTATTCAGCCTGCTATTTAACAAAGAACAAAATAGATTTAGAGGACAGGAACCACAGCACAGTAGAAGAGTTAATGCTGTTTATATGAAAGGTTGCTGTTCACTTCCTAGCACCCCAGTGAAATAAACTATCAGACATTAACAATTCATTATTGCCATGCATGCTAAGGTAGAAATCATACAATGAACAAAAGTGTGCTGCAATTTTGCATTTTTTACTTTCCATCTCATCTCCATCTATACAGAAAATATTTTGATTTGGGTAATGTAGTAATTACTAAGATATTACACAAGCATTGTGTAATCAGTGTTAGTAGTAGCCAAAAATAAATAAAATAAAATACAATTTGATGACACACACACATACACGAATCAAAGCTTTTTAGCTTAGCATATCATGTACAACTGATATGTAGAGAGACCCGAAGGATTATTTTCTCCCCAGGAAAAGCAATCTTTAGTATCACTGAATTTAATCCTTGGAAACAGTGCCAATTTGAAATTTCAGGCAATGGCTCAATATACATCCTATTTAATGTTATTGAATAGGTGGGCAATATATGGCTTTATGTAGTTATTCTTAGGCTTCCGTTTCATGATCTCACAGGATTGGCCATGCTGATGAAACCTTGAATTCAAGACCATTTGTTCTTTAGTCACGTTCAACACCCCCACCCTTCTTTTTCACTTGTTTGAAAACCAAACAAAATGAGTTGTTAAGATGAATTTCTTTGCAGTTTTGAGTGAATTGCATTTGGTAAATTAGTCACCAAAGCAAAAAAAATAAATAATCCCAGAAGTTTCTAACTCTTATTTCAATGCCCTATAAAATTGGGTACAAATTATAAATATAATTTTAACAATATTCTTCAAAGTATATTTGCTTAGTTTTTAAATTTAAGGTTCTTTTATCAAGATTTTCTTGTTGCTTTTCTTGTCTAATTTCTGACCAGCTTTTTGTTTATAAAATTCAAGATAATTCTTGATTTTGTTTGGGTTCTAGTTTTGATTTTTTTTAAAAAAAGATAATGTACAAGTTGCACAATTTAGCTACTACAGCCAGAGGCATCCACAATGTATATGTGTGGGGGTGTATGTGGATATTTGTAAAAAAAAATCAAGATGACAGTTTCAATCATGCAATCATGATTGACATCATGAACAGAAACAGCACCTGATGCCCCAGCTGTAACACTTGTTGGCAGCAACAAATTATTCAGGATATCATTTATTTCAAAAATAGGCCTAGGATAAATTGTGATAATTTTGTGCCCTAGTGGTTCCTATCCTTATAGGTTGGAGTTAATGAGAGCTGGTCCCAGGCATCTTGCAAAATGTTATTTTCTTTGATGATGCAAAAAAAGATCTCTTCCAATGTTCTATTAGTTGTGCTAGGTGGCTCGAAAAGAAATATATTCAAAACATATTTCTTCTCAATGCACAATTCTCCAGCAACAGCAGGTAAAGCAGAATTTAACCTCTGGCAATGGTTTTGCTCATCTCAGTTGAACATGTAATAATTCCAAATGTATACAGTGAAATCCTTTGACATTGGCATGGCCATTAAAAAGGGGAAAGGAATGCATGTCATTTTTGTGGGCTTTCACATTTGGAAATCACGCAGTCAAAATAGCATGTCACCCTATGAATAATTCCTTCAAAGGAAAGGATGATCTCCCATGCTATTTTATAATCATAGAAGTCATTCAGGAAGCAATATAATGAGAACTAGTCACAGAGACAGAATGAAATCAATTCTATATTCTTTATATTTAGGACAACATGTGTTGTCTTCCAGTGTAATGGGATGGAAACTGAGTAATTAAACTAAAAATAGAAGAGAACAAAAGTTAA